ACGAAACATTAATATTAAACAGATATAAAAAATAATTAGAGTTTGATATATTACTTAAATCGTATTAAAAAAGTATTAGATAAATATTAAATATATAATAGGTAGGGATCCAACAGATTAAAAATATGCGAAATAAATGATTTATTTAAAAAATACTTCGGTTTCTCATATTATTTAAATAATAATTAAAAACTTTTCAAGTCAATGATATTTAATCTAGATCATATATAATGATAATAATAATGAAAATTAAATATTATTTCAAAAGTTGAATTTAGTATATTATTTGATTATATACTATATTTTGGCTCATGTGGCATTGAACTCATCAATTTGTTTCTTCTTCATTAAGTGAATTTAATTATTTTTTGTATTCAAATGTTGTTAATTGCCAATTTTGTCAATTGTCGTTTGAATACGATATTAAATGCACTGTTTTACTTGTTCTAAAATGTTCCCATATTTACTCATGTTCCAGCTGAAGACTTCAAAATGCCGTCGGATAAAACCAATGGCGACGAGCCAAGAACCTGCTTAGAATGAGGGAGCAGACGGCCATGGAGCGCCGACGCAATCAAATGGAATGAAGAGAACGCGTTGTCATAGCAACGGCAGCGGCAGCGGCAGAGGCAGTGGCAGCCATCTTGCATGTGAGAGGGAATCGCCATGGAGCGGCCATGCTGGCATGCTGGCGAGCCACCGGCACTCACCTGCGGCGGCGGCTATTGTGAAGTTCTGTAACGTGACTGAAATATCGGTACCAGAAAAATGTTGTTTTTTCTTGTGCGGCGCTTTTGAGGCTCTGCCAGCCGCATTGCCGCAGCTGCGATATTCCCGGCCAGCGCCAAGCAAGTGCGCCTGCGTTGTGCCCGGACCGTGGCCTCGTCTGACATAGGACGGAATGGAGACGGAAACAGAGACGACGGTAAGTTTTCGACGTTTTCGAGGTAAGTACAGGAACGAAATGGAACAGTTTGCCGTACACGAATGCTGCGCTGTCATTTGCTGGGGTTGAACTGATCCGAGTGATGGGCATGCACATAAGAGCGAAGGAGATATCTGTATTGCGTCCTGCTCAGAGGGTTACAATCGAATACATGAACCATTTTGATGTTGTCTTTGCTAAGTGCAAAGTTGGCTGGATAAATGCCAACAGGATTCACTATATCCAATTGGAGCTATTCCTTTTGAATACGCAAACGAGAATTGAATAAGTTTTAGTTTTCGTATTTATAGTTAAAAAGCAAATACATAATAAATTTGTTTCAATTTTTCAGATGTTTGATATTCAAAAACATTGTTGAATATTTTGATATGAAACACAGTTTGCGCTCGCTTACCAATACAGCTACAGCTATTAATGCGCCTGTGTTAGTGTCAGCGCTCTTCGCTCTCTCTCAGCTGCGCTTGTGTGCGTGTGCGCTCTTTGCGCAATCCGCTCTTAAGACCGGTCGCGTGCATTAGTATTGGTGCAGCGCTCTTCATCGGCCCTGTTGCTCTCTTAAAAGTGCTCTCTTCACGTGCTGCACCTGTTCAAGCTTTTGTGGCTCTCTTGAACGTCGTATTGTTTTGGTCTGTGCCGGAGCTCTTTGCTCCGCTCTCTTTTGAGACTGCTGGCGCTGTTTGCCTACTGGACGCCGTTGCTTGGTCTGCCACTGCACAAACCCACCCCCGCGTGGAACAGTTAGCCAATGCAACTCGTATTCCGATGGAATGGCGCGGCGCAGCTTGAAATCTTGTTAGAATTTATGAGAATCTCAAAGTCCTGCGCAAGTTTCTGCGCTTTGGGTAGATGCAATTTCTTTTTTTACGATTTGCCCGCATTCATAGCATTCTTTTCGGTTCGGTTCGCTTTCACAACTTTTCGCCTCCGTCTCCGTGTCCGTCTAACGCATCCTGTATAGGGATTTTGTTGCGCAGGAAAATATAATGCGCTCTTCCCCATTTGGCAACAATCTTGGCTGTCGATGCAATTTAGCAATGCAACTCGCTGCTGTGTGGGTGATTGGCTGTGTATCCTAATAACAATACTCCACCGCCCCTTCTGACTGCTGACTGCTGGCCACTGTGAATTCTGATAAGAATGATTGCGGCAATTGCAGTAAGGATAGCGTCAGCAAGGAGAATTCATCAGAAGCGAACAATGCCACTCTCATTCTTTATTCTCCATTCCATCGTCCCATCCTTGCAGCAGCAAATGCTAACTAGATTCAATCTGCATGATGGTTTGAGTCTCGACTAATACCCAATCGAAAATTGGAATATCAAAAACACATGCAACAAAAATTATTAATCATCTGAAACATTCTACTCTTGACCCTGTAGTATATCGATAATCGATTTCACATAGGTCCATGTAATCGATGAGGGACGGGTAGAGAAAAACGACACTAATAATTCATGATAAGGCGAGGTAATTGAACGTTTCGTCACGGCCTAGCCAAACTCAATTTGAATAGTCAAGTCAATTCGCCCATTATATATTTCTATCTATGAGTCAACGAATAACTAT